AAAAGCAAATTTTATATAGAACTTTTTTTACTTATCATTTTTCGCGCTTTTCGCGGAACTGATAAGAGATAAGAGATAATTGACTTCAGCAATGTTATAGAAGACCTCAAGTGCTACAACTTTGCCGAAGACACTAAGTTGTTATCTCTTATCAGTTCCGCGGAAACCGCGAGGACCCGCCAAAAATGAACATACTCGCCTTTAACCATTTTTGAGTCGAAAGAAACTTACTCTCCTCTTTCGTAACAAAGTCAGATGAACTTACTCTCCTCTCGATCTAGTCAATAGACATGCTTTTCAATATACAATACCAGGGATTAACAGAAAAAATCGATATTTCTTACTTACGGACTTGTAAAAAAACCGCACGAATTAACTGGTAGACCCAATACTAAAATTCATTTAATACAAGAAACTCTACAGTCTGTGTACTTGTTATGCTAAATATATGCAAAAGAATAAGAAGGTGTTAAAAAAAATGTATGAAAACTTGCGAATTTTCTAGGTATGTTTCACACGCTTATATCTCTACAAAAACCAAAAAAAAAAAGTTCCATTTTATGACTCGATTATTGTTGCCCATTACTCGATCTACATTTTTTGTCTTCACTCTTCTGAAATATCTCTGATAGTGGCCATGTTATGAGCTCATTTGTATGTCAGTAACGTTACACCTCCATGACCGTGACCATATAGACAATATCTTCCTTATAAAATACACTGACTATGCTCAAACGTTGGAGTGCAAGTGTTTTGTTTACAAAAAAGTACCGTTAATCTATCCATAATAAATGTATTGACAATGTATTTGGAATGGAAGGAATTTCGCATGTAAAATACATTGGAAATGCTATCCTTACGGAAGAAAAAAAAATCAGCATTAACTTTTGGAATAAGAAGAAACAATAAAAAAAAGGCTGGTTACAAAACCGTCTAAAAATAAAACAAAATCGTCTAAAAAAATAACAATTTCGTCTAAAGGAAATCGTCCCTTTTTTTAACAAATTCGTCTAAAATAATATTTTTTAAATGACAATATCATCCAAAAATTAGACAATTTTTTTCTTAACCCTCAACTGCATGAATTTTTCCCAGGATGGGAGTACTGGTACTTGGTTGATTTTTGGCCATAGATAACGAAAAAAATATTGATCATCCTAGATTCCTGATGGTTTAGTCAGAAAATGCGTTTGACATAAATCAGAGAACAATCAAATCCATTGTTTAAAAGTGCCAAAAATGTGTCTAATTTTGGAGGGGAGTAATTTAATTTGTCAAAGAATGACTACCAGCTTTGCCCTATTTGAACTTTTCATGATATTTGTACGTGAAATTTATAAGTCCATCTATTGAAAAAACCCAAAATCAATGAAAGTTCAAAGGTTTTCATACATTATCTAAGGTATTTACATGTGACACATACAGCGCCATCTATTGAAAAAAGTCACAATCGTGTCATGTTGAAATAAGACAAAATAACCCAGAAAATGGTTGTCATTCTTTTTGTTTTCCTGCACATTTTTGTTTAAAACGCAACAACCGCACTACATAGATAAATGGTTTCAAAGACAAAAATAAAGAGAAAACATTGATGAATAAATAATCCTTTTAAAGCAATGTGATCTGACGTACGGTTCACATTATACAGGCGTTTAAATGAAGCTCGCCAAAAGGGGGCTTATGCAGTTGAGGGTTAATAAAATCGGGTTTTAAAATAACAAAATCGTCTAAATACGAGTTTTCTGGTAAAATTGACAAAAACGTCTAAAACCCCCCAAAAACATCCATGGACAAAATGTTTATTTAAAGTGACAATATCATCTAAAACACTCTCAAAAATCACAAATTCATATGATATTTTCATGCTGAAAAAATCGCCTGAAATATCCCAACATGATTTGCAAATGAAAAAATACTCTCCGGATTGGAAAGCCATCTTCAGTGTATGTCTTATCAAATTCATTGGGCATGGTTTTGATCATATCACTTTTTGGAATCCAAACATGTGTTTTAAGATTGCTGAGCATCTCAGCATTTCGTAAGGCACGGATATATCCGAGCATATCGACAACGCATACTGTATAATACAGTGGCGTGTGTTGCTACGTGCAGCCGCAACGACTCGACTGAAGTGTGTTCAGTTGATGTGGCTGCACGCAGCAACAACATACACATTCCGGTCAAGTCGTTGCGGATGCGCGTAGCAACGCACGCCACTGTATGCGTCGTCGATATGCTCGGATATATCCGTGCCTTATAAAATGCTGAGATGCTCAGCAATCTTAAAACACATGTTTGTTGGAATCAAACTAAGCTCATGTGGAATGTGTTGTGAAGAGAAAAATAAAAAAAAATCGAATGAATATTCGGCAAAATATGTGATTCTTAAATGAACTTGTTCATAGTCGTTTTTGGCATATTTCAGGCGATTTTTTCAGGATGAAAATATCATATGAATTTGTGATTTTTGAGAGTGTTTTAGATGATATTGTCACTTTAAATAAACATTTTGTTATTAGACGTTTTTGTCAAGTTTGCCAGAAAACTCGTATTTAGACGATTTTGAAAGAAATTATTTTAGACGAATTTGTTAAAAAAAAAGGGACCATTTCCTTTAGGCGAAATTGTTATTTTTATTAAACGATTTTGTTTCATTTTTAGACGTTTTTGTATTCAACGGTTGAATGAATTTCAACCAAAAAAAAAAATGTTCAAAATAGTTGCATTTTTTGACGTAAATACAAGAATTCGAACAAATTTTCCTTGTTCTTGGCCTTCAACTAATTGTGGGGCTGAGAACAAAATTTGGACCGTTCAATGTGTATCTTGCCAACGGTTTTATATTATAAACATCGCGTAAACGAAATCAGGATACAAACTGTGCATTGCACAATCAAATTTTTATTTCTAACCACATAATCGTGTAATGACAACGTTGAGTATTCTTGTTGTTCATAACTCCAGGTTTCACTCATTGAAATACAAAAGGCACGCACAGTACATAAGAGCCAATGTAAAAGTCAATTGATGCGCATAAGTAGCGCCACCTCTAATGATTACAGAGAGTTACCATAAGTCGTATGCAATTGATGTAGAGAAAAAAAAGAAGAAATAGACATTCTATTCATTTACATGGCAATCAGTAGAGATGGTGCTCATGTGCTGATCATATCACTGTTACAACCCTTCGTTGAAATAATGCTATATATCAAAGCCATTTGAATACTATTTCCAAAAAAAAAATCTACTCAATTGAATTTTTCAATCAAACACCAATTCAAAGAGTTGATAAAAGCTTATGATTGATGATGACCTAGAATTTTTTCAGTGGTAAAAACAATTAAATTGAGAATTTATCCCTCGAGACGATATTTTTTTGATTCATCCGCCAAAGTATCCTTGATTTTTAATAACAAATAGCACTGAATATGCACTAAGTATACATGCACCCATCGCTCAAATGCGATTGCCTAGAAAGCGTGAGCTAAAATGTCCCTCTTGCCGTTCGAGAAAACATCTTCACCAAAACAACGTAGAGAAATGTTTCGTGACTACAGCCTTTCCAAAGCAGTAATCGATATAAAATTGGTTGGAGAAACGATTTGTAACGGCAAGAGGGATATTTTTTCTTCCATAGATTCTTTTAAATGATATCTAATGAAGTAGTTTTCGGGGTGAAAACAAATTGTTAGGGCAGCTATAGCTAATGTTAAATTGTCTCAATGATCTAATAATTATTCATTCAAAATATTCAGATGAAATTGATTCAAGTTTTTTTTTGTTACATTGGCGCACAGCATTCAATGCCAAATGTGTTGGTAAACCTGATTTCAACAAACGTGTTGTGTTATTTCATGCATACCAAACGCGAAGCTCTATCGAAAAAATTCAACGAGCTTTTTCCATATTCCATAATAGCATCATACACAAAAATAAGCATTTCCATACCGCCATCGAAATTCGCCCACTTACGAATAAATAAATAAATAAATTTACCGCATTTTATGAGCATAACATAAATTAACGTGAATATTCATAATCAATTTGAATTCAAAAGTGATTAAAGAAAAAGTGAAGATGGTAGAGTTCAACCATCGCTTAATGCAAAGCCGACGTCTTGCTTCTTCAAACTATAGCCTTAAAGAATGAAATCAGAAGATGAATTTAAAAGAATTCATCAAAAAAGTGGTCTCACGATTTGATCAGTGTTCTTGAGTCGAAAACAATGAAGCAAAATGTATTATGTAATCCAATAATTGGTTTTTCAAAGATTCTACAACTTTCTCATCTATATATATATAAAAAAGAGTTGTATGTATGTATGTCACGAATGTTTGGCCAAACCGTTCATTCGATTTGGGATCCAAAGATACCGTTGGAAAGCTCTTGATCTGGAGAAGGTTCCTACAAACATCTTGGTCCATCACGGTCCATCGTGGTCGAGTTAACACGACTTAACACCATTTTTGCAAACAAATATTGCGTGACATAGGATTATTTTATGGTATTTTTAGAAATTGAAAGAAAAACATTTTCAGACATTTCGAGACATTGTGGAATGAGAGATATAAAGTTTTACAGCAGGACATTGCAGCCATCAATTTGTTAATTTAATTCATTAACTCATTATCCGCCAAGAATACATTAAGAAAATTTGTTTTTTTTCTGTTTTTCTTTCGCGTAGCGAAGCGCGCGGGAATCGCTAGTATCACATAAAGTTCCGCTTTGCATCGTTTTCAACTGATCCGACTATGGAAGAGAAATCGAAAGTTGTGTCATGTTTGCATTTTGGAAGTTTGAAATGTTTGACTTTTTTCGAATCTTCCACTAATTATTGTGCCAATCAGTTCATTTTATCGGCGTGATTGGTTTTTTTCCCCAAATTTTCACTTCCTTTTTCAATCACTTGTTCATTTATTGTTCGATGGCATACACTAGAAATAATCCAAAAGTGTTCCTGTAAAAGAATTCTAATGGTGACAATAAAAAGAGTGTGTGTTTTTTTTCTGCGACTTTTTTCAATTTATTAACTAAGTGCTCAGACAAATCTATACAGGATGTTATTTGTATAAAAATGTCTGGTGTTCACATTAAATCATCGATGTATTGGATTGACTTATGCAACTGGAGCAACTGGCAAGTGAGCGCCTTGTGGTTGGAAACCGTTCTCATCAGCAACGTAGTTGACGGTGTATTGTTGACCGTCTGGGCCGGTGTATGAGAATGAACCTTGAACAGCGATGAAGGCTGATGGGTCTTCAGCTGATTTTGGGGCTGGGTTTGGTTTCAATTGTCCTTGTTCTTGGGCCGAGATTCCGTTTGATGTCTTTGATCTATATGCAGCAAAGAAAATGAAAACAAAAAGTTAATTAGTCCATGTGTAGTAGGAAAACCATGGTTGATATCAATAAGCGGTAAGAAATAAAAAGAGTATATAATTCGTTTCACTTTTCTCGATATATCCGTATTGAAACTGTCCCATCGTACGTGAGAAAAGTGGAGAAATTTGAATGTTGAATTAGTTCGGGAACTTCGTATCACGGAAAGCTCCGGTCAAATGAATCGAACCAATCAGCCGAAACAAAACAAAAGCAGTGGAATTGATTTGAAAACTTACGAGTATTGGAAGTTTCCTTGTGGGTCGATGTCGGAGTTTTGTTCGACGATGGTGGCTTGAGCGTCAGCTGGGTTGCTTTGTGGAGCGGCCAAAGCGACGGCGAAGAGGGCGGCGAATACGATAACGAATTTCATTTTGATTTTTTTTTCACTTGTTACTTGCTGAACAGCTAGTTGAAATGTGATGTCGAATGAAGATTCGCGATCGCCTTTTATACACAAATTTTGTCGCTTGATAGTTCCAAAGCGTTGTGCGCATGCAGTCCGCTTTTTCGTCTTATGGACATTCAGCCTTCTACTTCTTTTTCAACGTTGTTTCTCTCTCGCTTCGGCATCCAGTAATATATTTGAATGTTAATCTAAAAGCTCGTTAGTCGCCGAATATATCATTCAGTTTAATGTGTGAATCACCTTTTTCTGGTTTTATTATCATTTTTTTCTTTACTCTCTCTCTGTGTGTATATCATACTCCCGCCGTTTGACATGAATATCATTTCGAAAATTTTAAACAATAACTAAATACGAAACAAAAAACACATTTGTGATGAATATTTATCAGATCGCCAGCAATATGATATGGAGCGTCGCATATACTACCATTGTATTATGTGCTTAAGTGTGTGCATAGATTTGGTGTTGAATTTTATCGTTGATGGACGAACGAACGTAATAAATATAACGAATTTTTCCCAAATTAGTAAAATGACTCTCATTCTTTAACCCATTGAAAATTCTTATTTTTTCTGGTATTCTCGCAACAAGCTAGTAAAACCAATCATACGATACAAGCATAAACGTCAACACTAGTGCAGACATCCGTGAATTTATTATCTTTGTTGTCTGTTTTGCACATAAAAAAAAATATTTAGTTCATCTCAATCTGAATATTTTAATTAGAACTCACTGCATTATAATGTTGATAACTTGGAATTGTCTATCGGATTAATTAATTTTGAATAGAAGGATTCGGATTTTTTTCATTCGTTACATTTTTTTTGTCTGATCGTCGTTGTTGTTGTCGTCATCGTCGTCGTCGGTGTATCTTATCATTATCAAATATCAGCTAATGTGTGTAGAAAAAAAAAGAAAATGTTTGAAGGTCAGAATACATTATGTGGTGCCATTGTGTGAATTTTTTGGGTTCAAAATCAAAACGGAAAGAGTTTGAAGATTGAGCCATGTTCATCAAAACTGCAAATGAATTATCATAATACATCTTTCAGACTATGAACAACGGGAATTTTTCTTAGTTGCGCAATGCATACACATTTCTTTCTCGAATTGAAGAAAAAACGAAGCTAAGAAACATTTGAATTCAAATGGGATGAAGACTGAATATATATTTGTGCAGTATACAACACCGATTTGTACATTGGTGGAAACAAAGGGATCACATAGCAAATTAGATAAGACTTATCTCTCTCTAGTTTCTAAAATCTAATATCTAGGCTCATCCACTGAAGACTTTTTTCCACTTTGCAAAGTAAGTACTTATATTTTATGACAAAATCCCTCTTATGCCGTGTGTAAGTTGTAATGTAATGTAATGTATGCTTTTAAAATATGCTAACACACGGTGAATTAAAGATAAAATGATGCGATAAATTCAACGAAATCACACAGAAAAAATTCGTTGAATTTATCGAGTGCATTCTTCATAACATCAATCAGAGTAGCGGCTCTCTCCGCAGTCAAAACAATTGATTTTGTTTCAAAAATCTGAATTTTGTAAAAATAAAATGAAATACAATATTCGTGTTTTAAAAAAGTCTCTTTTCGTTTTTGATGTTTTTTTTTTCTCTAATAAATGTGGGGTAAAGCTATTTTTCGAGAGCAGACTCTCTCTCTCTCTGTGTTTCCGTCTCTTTCCATCTCTTTTTCAATGGATACAATGCAATAATGTTCGGCACCAATGGAATTTTTTTACCCTAGGTGTAATTGAATGGTTTCGAGCGAAAATGTAATACAGAAAAGTTGAGCGGAAAAATTTCAAATGAAAAGGGATAGCTATATACATTACCGTGCAAAAGTTTGGAACCACTGGGTATTTTCCATACAAATTGACCATTTTTGGTGGACTCATTAACATATTTCGGAAACACCTGCACTCTTGAAATTTTGTGCATAGTTTCTACAACGTTTCAATGGTAAATCACAGAGGTTTCATCAAAAAATATTCACGTATTTAAAAAAATATATCAATTTGAATTTGATCTGTTTTAATCTTCATACAAATTTGATCATGAATATTTTTTTGATGAAACCTCTGTGATTTACTATTGAAATGTTGTAGAAACTATGCACACAATATCAAGAGTGCAGGTGTTTCCGAAATATGTTAATGAGTCCACCAAAAATGGTCAATTTGTATGAAAAATACCTAGTGGTTCCAAACTTTTGCACGGTAGTGTAGTTCACTATTGTTTACTATACAGTTTACTATACAGCTATCCCTTTTCCGCTCATTCATCATCGACATTTTTCCGCTCAACTTTTCTGTATTACATTTTCGCTCCAAACCATTCAATTGTGAATAAGTTTGATAAAAAAAAATTCCATACTAATAGCAACCTTTGTTCAATGTCCAAAAATTCCAATCATTCGTTTGGTTTCAGGTTGAAATGCACATACATCATGTAAAGATGTTATCGCCAATATCCAGTTTAAATTATTCCATGGCAGCGCAAAGGTCACCCTGAAAACCAACAAATCACCGTCTTCAAAATGCTATTCTAAATTGAGTGAATCCGTCACCTAATTCGCATTTTGTTTGCATTTTTACGATCCCAAAAATAGCGAGAAAGAAGAAAAAACGAAACAAAAACTGTTGTTGGAATTCTTGATTATAAAAGATAAATGTTTGTGGTTTCATTGGCAACAAAACGGATCTATTTCCTCTGATGTCGATCTGATTTCCGGCCATTCACTATCCTCATATTCCAATTGTAATTGTCCATTTTTTTTGGCTACTTATGTCAATTGCACTCTGCTGCACTGATTGTTGCAAAAGAATTGAGCAAATAAAAGAAAATGTTTTTGATTTTTTCTTTAGATTTTGTTTTCTTTATTATCTAACGTTCAAGACCAGTCACTACATGATCTTGTTTGTATGGCTTGTCCGAATTTTTTTTGATCCCTGATCGTAGACATGCTTAAGCAACTGGGGCAACTGGCAAATGAGCGGCTTCTGGTTGGAAACCGTTTTCATCAGCAACATAACGGACGGTGTATTGTTGACCGTCTGGGCCGGTGTATGAGAATTGACCTTGGACAGCGATGAAGGCAGCTGGATCTTCAGCTGATTTTGGAGCTGGGTTTGGTTTCAATTGTCCTTGTTCTTGGGCTTCAATACCGTTTGAGGTCTTTGATCTAAGGAGAGAAAAAATCATGGACAAATTAAAATTTGCTTTCAAACTTTACAAAATTCTGGCAAACAGTTTGGTTTAACTTTTCTAAAAAAAAATCTGCAATTGAAATTATAGCCCATCGTATATGAGAAAAGTGAATGCAAACAGTGAAACTACGACATGTAAATTAGGAAAGAAAATGTATTTAAACTTACGCATATTGGTAGTTTCCTTGTGGGTCGATGTCGGCTTGTTGGTTCACAATGGTGGCTTGAGCGTCAGCTGGGTTGCTTTGTGGAGCAGCGAAAGCGACGGCGAAAAGGGCAGCGAATACGATAACGAATTTCATTTTAATTTTTTTTTTTTTGAGGTTTCACTTGTTGCTTGTTGAAGAGCTAGTTGAAATGTGATATCGATGGAAGAATGTCATTCGCTTTATATACGAAAAAATATTGTAGCGGTCTACAACAGTTGATGTTGTGCGAATGTAGTGCACCATCATTATCAACATCATCATTTTCATTCGTTAATGGCTATTTAGCCTTCTGCTGTTTCTTCTTCTTCTTCTTTCAACTTCCCAAGTATACCAACCAATAGATATGAATATTAATATTGCCCTTTGTCTGGCGTATGTGTGGTGTTACTCCAGCTTATTGCGCGCACTATCTCAAATCTCTTAATTTGAAGGAATCTTTGACTTTGCTACGATTATAGCAGCAGCATCAGTATCGAGGAGAGTAGTGAAAAAAAAATAATTAATGAATATTTATCGGATCACATTGTATCATGTGCGCAGAGAGATGATATTTTGATGAAGCTAAAATACGTTATTGAATGTGTGTATGCGACGAATCCAAGCGCGCATTTTTTTTCTCTCGTACCTCGAATCGATCGCATTGATGGCAGATATCACATCGTTGGTCCAATTTTTGTTTGTCGTCCATCGTCACACTCTTCTTCTGTTTCGTCTATTGAATAAAATGTGTGAAGGCCGGCATACGTTATGTGTGTTTCACTTTCAATAAAAACGTGCGAAATGAAAACGAAACCAATAATCACCATAAATGCTATAAACACATACACAAAAACCGCTGAACTCCGACCAGCTCTTTCGTACACGCACACAAAATAACTCGTCAAATTTTCATTTCTGCAGAACTGTATCAGCATCAAGACCATGAATGCTGAAGCTTAGACTCTTGTATCGTTTTTTTTTTAATCTGCTATAAATTAACTTTATTTATTTTTCCCAATATTACGACGATTCTTCGTCTTTGTTTGGCATTTTTGCACGCGTTTGTTTGGCATGGACAACATCGACATGGGTCCATGGTTTTTTTTTTCTCTATTTCTCTATTTCTTTGCCACCCAGAGATATGTATTCAAATTGAACTTAAGGTGATAACGATAGAAACCTTCATCCCAAAGAGAAAAAAAAAGTCATGTGTTAGCCACATGAAACCATCGAAGATATCGACCAACCAACCAACTTACAAACAAATAGAAAAATCAACGACACGCTCATGACAAATATGGACAACAGATCTTGACTCGATTATGAATATAAATAAATTATTTTTAATATGTTTTAGTTAAAAGGTTACGATATTATACATGCGGATTATTGCTATAGTTCCGAACCGCACATTTTATGTGCGTGGAGGAATCGTTTCGTTCGTTGTGCGTGTGCTACGAGAAGTATTGCATCGAACAAAATGGTACTACTCCTGGTGCTACTCCCTTGTCACCTCCCCAATGTTCGAATAACGCCATACGCACATCGCAATTTTGCACATTTTTCATAGTAAACAAAGTATTTTTTGGGGCAGATAGGTCTTGATCGATAGGATTTGTTCCCATCTACATTGCCTAGTATACAGTTATGTGCTTTTTGAAGTTTGGCGCGACGTTATAGTGGTCCGAAAAAGGAGATGTCATGAAATTTTGGCTAGTAAAACCAATACTTTTCCTTAACAAACAAAGTTTGCGGAAAAGAAAAAATCAAAGCAAATCGAATCAAACTAAAAGTGAAAAAATAATTTACGACATTTTATTTTTCATATTTATACTATGTAAACTAGTTTATAAGGGCGTACGTGTTATTATACATTTGCCAAACGAAATAAATAAATAAAATATTCCGTTGATATGCCGTTGACTAAAATGCCAAAATGTGATAGGAACATTTGGATTAATTTACAACGAATTTCAAAAATATTGCCTATTAAATTGCGTCATCGAAGAAATGGTTTATGAAATGGGCTCGAAATTAAGCAGATTTTCGTGTGAATTTACACTTGGATGTGAAGCGACGATACCTTGGATTTTAATTTATCACATTGATTCACTCACAATTTTTCTTTGCTTTCAATTTGATCACATTTGGGGTTGATTCAAGGAAAACAGTCGGTCTGGTTCGGTCCGGTACGGTCCATTTGTTGATTTTGCGATATACCGTTAAATCGATCGTTTGAAATGATATCATCGAATGTAATCAATCGATCAAAGTGATGCAGTGGTCACCTATTGCATTAATGCATTAATAACACATAAAATTTTGGCACATCACCAATCTAGAGAGTATCGCATCGCATCTGTCATCATCATCATTCGTTAACGAGTTGGTTGGATGAACAAAAAGAAGAAGAAAGAAAAAAAAAACAAGTTTGTCGATTTCGTATTCACCCACTGCATTTTGATGATGATGGCATATGCCATATATATTATGCCATTAAAATTACTCAATCCAATTTGCACTGTCATTTCATTCAGCCGCAATCGAAAATCGTCGGAATATTTTGGTAAAATGTTGACCCGATCACAGGGTTTATGTAATAGGTGTGTGTTTTTTTCGCCAAACTTTGAAGCTATATATAAATCTTCAAATTCCAAAAATGCACACCCAAAAATTATCATAAGCCGATGAATGTGATAACGAAATTTCACTTTGGCTGTTTTTTCTTTCTGTGTCTTCATTTTGGGCGAAAATTTGCCACCGCCAAAGAAGGTGCATTTGAAATGTTAACTATAAAATGGGCTGATGACGAGGACAACGGCATCAGTTTATTTTCAGCTGTTTTCAGTCAAGTATCCCACAAAAATCAATCAACATGAAAGTCTTCGTTGCTTTGGCCATTCTCGTAGCCACTGCTGCTGCATTCCCACAATTCCAACAACCACAACAATTCCTACCACAACAACAATACCAATCACAGGACGCCACCGCTACCGTTGTTCAGAATGAAAACACCAACATCGGAGTGGGTGATTACCAAGCCAGGTAATGCAACTGTTATTTGCAACAAAAGTGAACGATTCTTTAATTGTTACTCAGTGTCCAAACGTTCATTCAGATCAAAGTGATATGGTAATCTCTGATTTGGCCAATTTGGCATACAGAGATTCAGTTCCTTTCATTTTTTTTATTGTTCCGTTTTCTTCAATGTTTCGTTGCATAAATTGTTCCAGTTCTCGAGAGAAAAAAATCACAGCTCTCTCAAATCGAGCTCAAATTAATTGGAAAATGATCGAAAAATGTTTTGAATACAAAACTCAAGTGGTTAACCAATCAATATCAACATTTAAAATTCCAATATAGAAAAGAATTGGGTCAAATGAATCAAATAATACGAAAATTGAAAAAAAAATTATTCATAAAAGCGAAATGTTTGTGTGTAAAAATCACCCGAAAATAGAATGCAACAATTGATTAAACCATTTGAATTCACTTTGTTTGCAGATATGCCACCAGCAACAACATCCAAGCTGATGAAGCCGGTGAATTGCGCTCGGGACCAGAAGGCCCATTCTTGGCCAAGCGTGGTTCATACTCATTTGTCGGTGCCGATGGCCAAACTTACACTGTAACCTACACTGCTGATGAAAATGGATACAGACCCGAAGGTGCTCATTTGCCAAAAGCTTTTGTTTAAGTTGTTTTAACTGAATTAACGAAGAAAACCATTCTTCAATAAATTGTTATTCACAAAGTGGAATTGTGAAATTATTGTAAAAACAGAGAAAAAAAAACCGTCTTTCATTGAATTTACACGATTTTTTTACGATTTGGAACATCTTTTCAACTACATTACCAATGTGAGCAGAGATGATGAGGTCGATTTTTATAGTATGTATAAAGTACAATATGCAATGTTTATTTCAGTGACTGTTGCCTACTTCGATGGTTTCTGGGAAAATATATGTCCCGTAGCCAAATGGCTACGAGAGAAATATCACGATTTTTTTTCTTTGCATTTTTCGTGCATTCATATGAAACAAAAAAAACAGCTTCAAGGAATTTTTAAAACCGACGTGTTTTTATTTGATTTTCGGTCGTTGAAACTGTATAGAGTTCCGTTTGAATATAAGTTTTTTTTTTAAATAAAGAAATTCATTTTTTCATCATTTTCTATCAAAAATTAAGATGATTTATAAAAGTAAACAAAATCTATCATTTAAAAGCATAAACAATCTAAAAATTGGATCAATTGACAGCTTAAAATAAAATCAAATCAAAGTAATATGCAAATGAAGTGACATTAGGAATGCAAAGCCATACCACGTATAAATATGTTGAAATTTGAATTTGGTTTCGTGTCACAAAGGCATATTAATCATTTATATATATATATACAAAATAATGGGAATCGCAGGTGATACAGATCATAAATAGCCATTAAATAATGCGTTAGAGCCATAAAAAGAAACCTCCAAATGCGAATCATTGTGTCGTACCAAAAATCCATTAAAAGTCGTTTGAACACTATTAAATGGGTTTGATGCCAATTTTAATTGGTGCGGTCAATCATAAGATGGTATTGTGAGTAAAGAAAAAAAAACCGTGCGATGATGAGTGCATTAACGATGTTATGACATGAATGTGTCCAGTATTTTAAGTCCGTTCGGATGATGTACGGTTGATTTTGGTTGGCCATGTGACGATCGGCACTGGATCAATCAAACATTACCGAAGAAGTTGACCGAAAGTTGAACCGAAACAGCCGACAGAAATCATCATTTAATAATTATATGCTAATGGGATGACATTTACACCATATGTATCATTGTCGTCGTCGTCGTCGTCGCAAACTAGTTTGCGCGGTAAATATCAGGTTTCTTTTTTTTCTGGTACAGCACAAGGAAAATATAGTGTAGTCGACCACATAAAAAAGCAGTCCACTATGATTTCGCATAAAAAAAGCATAAAAAACAATGAACTAAAAAGAGATACGCCAAACAAAGAGCAGCAAAACGAAGGAGTGAGAAAAAAAAACGCACAACGAATGCGCAAATATGTGTCAGTTTAGCTGTGATGGACCGAAATATCGATTTGATTCGATAAAATTGCTTTTGGCTTGTGTTCGCGTAAGCATGACACCAAAAATCAGCTGACGAGTGAGCAAACAAACAGCAAACAGCATTTATGTGGTTAATTAAGTCGATAACAGTAGCAGCAGCAACAGCAACGGTAGTTGTTAGTAATGACAAAGAAATACCTCTAAAGCGACACATTTTTAGCATATATTATATATACTATAGTGTCCAAGGTCGACTGATTACGGCACTCGCTCCAAAAATAACCGGCCACCAAATTTTCAAACAAAGAACAATTCTGTTTCTAATTCTTCTGCCGCTGTTACTGCTACTGCTATCGTCGCTGATGCAGTTGCTGTATGCGTTGTCACATTATTAGTTTTGTTGGTTGGGTTTTATGTGACGTTGTTCGGTTTGATTTGGCTTTCGTGTCACGCGCTCATTTTATTACGTCTTTATTGATGCGGTTCCAACTGCTTCTTGCTGCAATGCATTCAATCTGGTCGGGTGTGTTTATTTGAGTTAATTTGGACACGTGAGATGATGATGATCGTTGATAATGATGTTAATTCTTCAGCGACAAATGTGATCGCCGAATACGGTGGAAACACCGTCGTAAAATCGTACACATTCTAACAAAATGGCATGATTTCCGTATTTTTTTCGAGCGGCAAATTTAGTTTTCTTAATTGGAAGCATCCGATTGAGACAAATACTCATTTATATTCAAATTATTCAAATATTAGGACAACATTAGATTAAAATCGCTTGGCTGTCCAATAAGACTGTTTCAGCGATGTGGTCTCTTCTTTTTCTTTATCATTTTTTTTTTTTGGTTTTCTAACGCGCGTCTAGATACACTCGAATGGGTTGTTCGCGCTATCAACCATCTGTACAGTAGTGCTGATGCTGATGATGCTGGTTCACAGTCGATAGGCCGGCAAAAATGAAAACAAAGCAGAACATAAAAATGGTGTGGTGCGATAGTACACGTCAATTTACATGCAAATTTGTTTTCCATCGAATTCGCCGAATTGGACAACAGAACAACAGATCCGCATATTTTTATGATTATGCTGCTGATATGCAGAGAAGACACAAATTCGGATGGAATCAAATATATTCATAATGGCCAGATTCTAGCTGCTCTACAACCAAACGAAATCCGAAAGAGAAACTTTTAACGTAACTTACATCATCATCATTATCTCACTTTTCTTTGTGGTCACACACAGCCACCGGCTGTCAACTAATGGTCCAGAAACAAATGGAAAAGAAAAGAAAACGAAATAAATATATATAACAATACATGCATATCATTATTATTATTAGTGCCAAAGAAATGTCAATATTGAACGGCAATTTAACCTTCTCAATCCAAACTGGTTAAATAGCGCGAGCTATTTGGCGTTTTGGAAACTGAAATTAGCAACAATACACACTTTGCCGCGAACGTTTGCGCGCGAACGGACACACACACACACACATTTACACGCTCATACACATCGATGGCGAACAATCGATTAACGAATAATGAAAGAAAAAGTCACACAAATGCTAAATATTATGGATTTTAGCGGCAACGGTGATGGGCCACGGCGACAACGACACATAAAAACCCGAATATAGCAACTCTATCACAATCTCGGCTGGTTTTGTTGCTTTGTTTTATCGCAAACGAATGGACAAGCGCGCACGCGCACACTCGCCCGCCCGCCCAACATATCGTTCGCGCTCTCAAATAATGATTTGGTCGGTTGGTCGTGTATCGTTTTCATTGTTGGTTTAGTTGCAGACCAGAGAATCACGTATATAAATTAACGTGCAATTCTTTTCGATCGGCACAGTGCATTCTAATCGATTTGCCTTATCACTTTAAACATATAACGAAGATGAAATCGCTCATTGTTTTAGCTGTCCTAGTCGCTGTCATTGGGGCCCTTCCAGTCGACCAAGATCATGCTGCAATTATCTTGAAATCCGAAAACACAAACATTGGTGCGGAACTAATTATTACACATTTTTTTTTCCAATTCAGAGACACAAAAAAATGTCACAAAGACAAAAGATTTGCTGATTTGTATGTTTATTTATTTTCAGGTGTGGACAATTGGAAGTGGCTGTAAGTAAACAGCAGTAATTTAGATCGAAAACTTGGGAAAAAAAATGAACCAATCCTAAATTATGCAGTATATTTGAATGCGATTGAATTTTAAATTGCAATAGAACAGTGGATTGATTTTTTTTAATCGCATGTCTTTTTGCTCGTTTTTTTGTTTGTTTGTTTGTTTGTTTGTTTGTTTGGTGCTGTATTATAGTTCGGAAACGTCAAACGGAATCGCTCAACAGGAAAGCGGTGAAATTGTTGACCGTGGCTCGAAACAAGAAGGTATTGCCGTTCGCGGATCATTCACCTACACCGACCCAATCACAAAACAACAATTTACCGTAACATATGTTGCAGATAAGAACGGTGAGTCTCTCGTACATTCATCATTAATGAATATTCCGAACGCATTCGTCGGACATATTATTTTGTTAATCTTCTGATTTGATTCGGAGTTTTTGCATTCTAATTAACAAATCCAAACGTTTTTATTTCGCCCAATTTATTCTAGGTTTCCAACCAACTGGCTCTCACTTACCTGTTCCACCACAAGCTTAGATGTTAATTAAAATAAGCAAAAAAAGACAACAGAATAAAGATTATGCTGCTCGACAAACACAATAAATTTTATTTTGAATTTGTTTCCTTTGTTTCCTTGTCCATCTATGGTTTCATTGCTGCTTTGTTTTGATCTTACATTTACTGAGGGCTTTGGTTATTTCCTTCTTTTTAACTTCCGAACGTTTATTCGAGTGTCTATTGTTGTTGATCCAACAAACTGGAAGTGACTCGTTTTGAAAATTTGGCCACCGCCAGAGGTAAGTTGATGTTAAAATTGGTGATTGGTGTCAAATTCATTGTCTTGGCCATATCTCGGATTTTCATTAAAAATTCCGCAATTTCTGGTTTTCTTTGTGTCGACATCTGAGCCGTTTCAAACAAAATCAACGCATTCGATTGGAACACATTGGAAAAATCTTTTTTCACAATTGGAAAATAATTTCGGCCGACAAAAACTGCGTCAAATTTTTTAATAAATTTATTACCATCGACCAATGACTGAGCGTCGCTCATCGGCAAAAATGAAACTGTGACTTGGTTCGTCGACATCAACGGTTCGTTGAATTTCTTTAGATCAGTCTTTTCGTTGAATTGAGTAGCCGTTTTGTCAGCGGTCGCACCGCCGAATGATTTGCCAGTGTCGATTTTTGTCATTCCGAGCTTGTGCAATGCCAACGTATCCGGATTGGGTGGCGTTCGTTCTTGAATTTCATAAAATAATTCTATTAAATTGCTTTCGCTAATGTCCGTTGCTCGGTATTCATTTTGACCATAATTTGATTTGAGCAATTTTTGGTCGTGACACGACAGGCCAAAACCACAAAATGGCCCAATTGTTGTGTCACCCACATAATCGCCGGCATTCGCTTTCGAAGGTTGCAATGCGAAGGTTTTATTTGCATGCGATTGACGGTATTCCGGAAATGTGAAGGCGACACCCGTTTCACGCCAATGTTTATACTCTTGCGAACAAATCTGATGGGCTCCATTGTCTTTCAGACGCATTTGATGATCCCAATCGTAGGCACCTTGACGCGCATCGAATCGATCGCGATGGGTCTGCCGAAGCCGTTGTATCCAACATGTGCGAATGTCGAATGGATTTGTATCACGTTCACGCCAAAAACTAAACACACTCTCTAAACAATCACGTTCGATAAACTTTAAGTGGGTCAAATCGAATATCGGCTGCATTTTCACATTGAACTCCAAATCGGTGACACATTTTATCAAATGATTCACTTTGCTCTCCATATAGCCCATTGATGTTGAACGAATCAATGTATTCCCATAAATGTCCATGAATAAATGCGTTCGATGCGGTAGTGTCAATAGGTGTGATGGCTCCAAAGTAATCGACAACAAAATGATTTGCCGTGCAACCAGAGCTGGACATCCTTCAAGCACATAGAAATGCAATTTTGTTCCATGCTTATAACTTTTTGCCAGTGTTTTTATGATGTGTCGTGGATCCGAACTCCCAAACAACAAAATATTCAATTGAGACGGTGGCTCAGTGTCAATTGTCACATTTTTTGTATATTCTTCGTAGAAATCTAATGCTTCACTGAAACCCCAAAGCATTTTCTTAAATAAACTTATTGAAATTTATCGATTTATTTGGATAAAATATTCGAATTCGATTGAAATTCAGACTTATTCCAGCAAAATGGTTCAATTCAATGAGAAAATTCACAAATGCTCAAGTTATTTCCTTTGAAAGTATTGTTTTGTTAAAGTTCAGAGAAAAAATCGATCAAACAGCCCATTGCACTTGGCAACGAAACGAATCCTTTTAAATGCCACTTCCCAAAAGAGCTTCGCCTTCGTTGTTTGAAGCTTTGCGCACGTTGCTATGTTTTATTTTGAATGGTCACCAACGAGTTCGTCTGGAGAATAACAAACTTTATTATTCATTATGGATTGATTTTAGACTAAAAAAAAATGAATTTATCATCGACAAAATTGTATCTTGAAAACTTGCTACTGAAACTTTTTCTTCTCACGTAAAGCATCCATATATCGTCGTGATGATGGTACTGAAAGCAGTTTGTCTCGAATGGCAACAAAACAGCCAAAATGTATGCAACCATGAAATTTTACGCTAACTCAAGCAAAACTTATTTCGAATGGTCGATTTCGTTCAAGCAAAAACTCAAGAAACTTTCCAATATTCAACCACATTATATGGTTTGTTTTATCCAAATTAGATGGCTTTCGGCGAATTTAATAATCGAAATCGATGAAGTGGAGACATCTTTTATTAAAATGGCTCAAAAGCGGTCAACTCAAATGCAAAACAACATATTTTAAGGGAAACAACAATCAGTTCCATTCAATCAGATGAAATGCATCTACACAAAACTCAAATCGACCATAAATTTTCGGCTGTCATGTCATTGAATTTCACTCCGGATATTCAGTCGATGCTGAAGGCTTTGATTGAGTGTCACTAGTAAAGAAAACGTTGGTATCACGAGAAAGTGTTCAGTTGATTTGATTTCTTCCGTAAAAAGTGTGTATTTTCTTCGGCACCAAAATGGCTGTGGTAATCAAGTTCAAGGATCGTAAAGCGGATGATTTTGTCAACAAACAAATCATCGAGGTGTTCCGCAATTGCGAAGATCCGGATGTGGATTTGATGGTGGCCAACGGCCAAATCGTTTCATCTCATCGTGTGGTGCTGTCTATGTACTCGAAATACTTCCGCCGAGCGCTCAGCCAATCAAATGCAGAGTACAAATTTATTGGTAATTAATAATATTGTCTGCATTTTGAAAAAAGAGATTCGATTCTTCGTGTTGGAAAACGTGATATTTTTCGTACATGTGAAACTCGTTTGCAGAGGAATTACAAAAAAATTGTGTTGAGACAAAGTCTCATTTATTTTTGTTTTCATTACAATTTGCTAGTGCCATTGATTGCGTTCCCATTGCTTGCGATTCAACATGTTGTCGAGCTGTTTTACTACGGCGAAATTCGTGTGCTGGCAAACATCAAGAGTCAGGTGATCAAAGCGTTGGATTTTTTGGAAGTCGATTATGACATTCCATCGACTCGTCGCACCCCGATTCAATCGACAAATATGCAAGTGATTTTCAACGCGGCCGCCGCAAATCAGAAGATCGCATCTCAAGTCAATGGTAAAATCTGTACAGAATATTCATTTCTCGGATTTTTTTCTATTTTTATTCGCATTTGCATTTGAGTGACTTGTTCTAATCAATCTGTTTGTTGTGCAATTTTTATTAGGTAAAGTTGTGGGCACGAATCCTGTGCTGATGCAAAACAAATCGAATCCGGTGCAGATGCAAAACAAACCGAATCTGGCGCAAAAACCGATGGCAAAGCCAAAGGCTACTGAACAACCCGATCAAAGTGGCAATTTGACGTGAGATTTTTTTTTTCATCGATGAATTAAAATGCAGTTTTTTTGTTTCTCAAAATGAATAACGTTCAATATCACCTGTTGAATACATTCTGAATCAATTTGATGCGCTCTGCGTTCTTCCGATTTTGTTCAATCATTTTCTTCCTTTCAAATTTTTTTCAAATTATTCCATTTTTGAAAAATTATCAATTAAAGATAAAAACATATATTTTAGGCCCACTGAAAACTCTGCCGCCTTGGCCGGAACAGAAAAGCCGAAAATCACGAGTGACGTGCAAGTGAAATCCTCCACTGATGGTAAGATTTTTTTTTTCATTGGAGACTATTTTTTTAAAAAGTCATTCATGAACATTGGACATTTCTTTGCATTTGTTTTCATTTCGACAAAATTGTAGGCCCTCTCGACAAGAATGCCATGCCATTGTCTTTGCAAACCAACTCGTTGACGATGCCAAAACCGAGTCAAGCTGAAGCGTTGCAAACGTCGCAAAACGTTGAATCGACACCATCATTGGCAACAGAAAAATCACCAGAAAACATGCCGATTTCGAACGATCTTTCCAAAGGAGGTACTTTTTTGATATGCAATTCAAACAATAGCCTAAGATTAAATCCCATTTTTTTTGTGTGTATTTCATTTCATAGCATGCAAACCGACCGCTGAAGATGAGATGGTCATCGACAACGAAAACATTGCCGCCCGACTGTTAACGTACGACGTTGACAAAGCCACTGAACAAATCCATTCACAAGTCGACGAGTTCATGAAGGAAATGGATATTGAAATGAAAGACGTCAACGAAAACACGGACGATATGGATTACGAGGTATAAACACAAGATCATCATAACAACAACACCAACAACAACAAAGACTGTACACGTTCCAGTGGATGATTTGCTGATTAGGCGTAATTAAGTTTATTTTTAGTGAAAGAAAAAAAAAATAGCGATTCAATGAACAAACTGTAGACTCGAATGAAAGAGAAATTTTAGCCAAATGAGCAAACTGATGTTTATCAAGCAAACGAAATTTTTGAGCTAATTAGAAACAAATCATATTCGAAGTGTGAAAAAAAACAGCAAAAAAATGGATTGATGGCATTTTGGTAAAACTCATTTATTCGCATCGATTGATTCAATATTGAAATCCGAACCGAAACAAAAAAAAACACACAAATAATCATTATTTATTGGATTTAACAAACAAAGGAACTTATTATAATAAGTATATTATAAAAAATCAAAGTCCAAAATCAATTGAGATTGTGTTCTTTCTTTCATGTGAAGCGGTCATTGGTTCAGAGTGTCGTGGATCATGATGATGAATTTTTGTTTTTGCACATTTTGCGTGTTTTTGTTTGTACCCGGTAGTTGAGACATAAAGGATACGATGTTTTGTCGCTAGAATGATTTCACACAGAAGTTCAAAAGATTGATTAGAGGAAAAACCGACGGACAATTGTAGTGAGAGAAGAAAAAAAAACAAATGCACATTAAAAGGTTAGTCATGTGAACAGCCTTCAGAATTCAGTAGCATGTTATCGCAATAAAGCGGGCAATGATGAATGAAGTCATCACCTTGAGTGTGTGCGCGAGCGCGTCACCAAGTAGAAAAACAAAATGAAAACAATTCTACAAATTAAAAAATTTGTTCTAATTATAGTATTCAATAAAATCGAGCAATTTATTATACAATTTTCTATTCTTATAATACTACCGATGCCGGCGTCGTCGAGCATAAAAACTCAAATTGAAACTCCCATTTATTATGAATGAAACGAATGTAGAATACGAAACCATATTCCATCGTAATGTTAACCTTCGTGCACGGCATGCAAAACAATGGTTTGTATTGTCGCGCGCGCGCGCGAATGAGCTCACGGGTCGAGCACACACTCGACCGAAAAAAAACCGTCGAATAATGCAGCCCTCTTAAAAACCATTTACTAGAACGTTTTTTTTTTTGGTTGGTGTAGCGTTTTAATTGTGTCATCATTTCAAGTATTTTGTGACCAAACACGGTTGTCAGCGAAAGAAATGCGGCCCAAACATTCTGTGGAATTGACTATTGTTGCGAACGCGTGAATCGAATCGGAAAGAAGAATAATTTTCGCATTGCATTTGCAGTGTATTGCCGCGATGTATGTGCATATTGTTGAACGTGCCCAAGATCGATGTCATAATTTTCAGCCCAATTCCAAATATGGGCAAAAATGCAACTGTGAAGATTACCTTGCTATTGGTTGTGCTGCACCACATTTTGTCTGTCCGTTTTTTTCTCTTCTTCTTTCTTTCTTCTTCGTCGTCTTGTTTCGATGTTTCTTTTTCAATTTGGTATTGTGTGCTTCTTTGCAATTATTATGTAATATTCTAGTAAACATGCGCACAAAAACAACAGAAAAAAACCGAGTCGAAGAAACGGGAGCAAATTACAATGAATTTAGTTGAGCATCTGTGCACAATATTGGTACATCAATGATAAAAATGATCTCATCGCGAGCAAGAGCACTCGCGCGCACACACACAAACTTCGATGAATTCAAATTCAATTCATTTTAATTGTCTCTAATGCAGATTCGTGTTTCCGAATTGGATTCGTGGGGTGCACACACAAATTACAATTGACAGCTTTTTATTCTACATATAGAGCACGTTCGCATATTTTGATTAAAAATGAAGAGAGAGAGAGAGAGAGAAAATGCAACACAAAACCACCTAACTCTGCATATTTTCACTTATGTGAAGCTTGCGCGCCCGTCACAAGCACTCATAACACGCTAATAAGAATTGATTGGAACAAGATTATTGCATTTAATATTTTCTCAAATTGTTTGTGAGATTACATGTGCTTGAGAAATGAAAGAAAGATGTGGCGAGAGCGAGACACATAAGAAGCAAGAAAAACAAAATCAATTCAACCACACATACACACTCACTCACTCACAATATTGGAATTGAGATCGGCGGTCATCATCAGTGTGTGCTCTGTACAGCAGCGGCGCTTTGTGTATTGGCAACAGATCGAATGTCCTCGATGAGGTTGTGCGGAGGCGAGCACATTGGTCACACACTCTTTGCCGCATAACATGTATTTTTCTCTTGCGTTTTTTTTTCACGCTGGACTCGGCTCTTTTTTTTACTTATTATTTAAATTCAAATTAACTTTAGCTGTCGTTCGCACGTTTTCGGTTTGGCACATTGCGTATTCAATATAATGTTCGTTGTTTGCAGTTCGTGAATGAATTTGAGCTTGAAATTCTTGTGATGTCAAACTGCTGCGCAAAGAATGTATACGTGAAGAGATTCGATTTGCAATTAGTTGTGTCAAAATTTGGATTCGAGTGTCGGTTAGGTATGTGTGTTGTTTGACGATTATTATTTATTATAATTTGACATTCGATTTCATTTGCTGCAACACACACACACACACACACTCAGACACATACACAGACATGTTTCAATGATCAATTTATTCCTCGAATCCTACATGAAAATTTGCACATCGAAATGCGCAAAATTTAGAATAAAGCACGAACAACACGAAAACGGAGCAACTCAAAGAGTTTCAATGATGAGAAGGACGCAGTTCATTAAAGACGAATCACTCATATGCATAAACGAGATGCGCGACGATATAATTAATGAATTTTGAAGAGAGAAAAAATCTGCTCTGCTGCAACGAAAAACCCATTATGCGAAATGTTCGCTTAATTCATTGCTGCCGCCGCCACAAATGAATTAAACGAATTGAATACGCCCGAAGAAAAACGTACGACTCTTCAAGAGAGATGAACGATCGACCGGCAACGAAAAAAAAAGTGATTTGATGTGGCACAAAAGACCCTAAAACAAGTTATTTATTTTTAAATAACAGCACTTCTTCTCGCCATTACTACAACTTGAAGAAGAAACGAAACCATCTAGTTTTTTCCACTTTTTTTTCGTGTGCGCGGCTCGATTTGATGCGGGGAAAATGTATAATGACCGGCAATTGATAAATGATGTTTCAGTGGCATCATGAGATCCCTATCTCAATGTTTTGTATACAAACTAATTCGAATTTACTTGCAAACTGCAAGATTTACAACCTGTGAATTCATCTCAAATCGATGCTCTTGCGAAGAAATAAAAACACATGCAGAGATACATCGATAATTATCTGTATCAGAAGTTTCAACTCGTTTATTTATGAGGTCGAATCACACAGTTTTAGTTCAAAAGTGGACTCTCTGTTGACTTTTCTTTCGTTAAAAATGATAGTGAAAATGAAGCCAAATGATTTTTTTTTAACTAAAAAATATGATGGGAAGCATTTGGATGCATACTCAAAATTACGACGACCTCGTCGTAACGGGGTGTAAACCAAACTAAATCGATTGTACTTAATGTGTACTAAAACGTACCGCATTTCAAAAAAAAGTGTACTTATCAAGATTTCGAGTAATTGGAGGGTCATTGAGCATTTTCAAAATTACGAGGCATACGGTAAAGTATGCAATTTGAACAAATCCATCATTCTCAAGCGAAAGCACTTATTCACTGAATGATATTCAATGAACATGTTTATTAAACATGGTTTTATGCTGCTGTATGTCTCAACTTACTTTTTTCACTGCATTTATTAAATTGTGCATGTGAAAATGTTGAAAAATCGTCATTAACTTCTGGGGGAAAATAAGCGTCATCATGATTCATCATATTCAAAATGAGTTTATTTCCTTCCGAATGTTTTTTTTATTTCACAATTCGTGAGCTCCGAAATAAAAACGCAACGGCATGAATGAATCGATATTTCCAATCAAATGCACACGATCGAGATAATAAAACGTGTTTATTCATATTGTAAATTCCCAACAAGGCATTTTTTGCCGTGCGAAAATAAAACACCACACACACACACACACCAACAAAGTGCGCTGTAAATGTAAAATATTCAGCAATGAATGCTCTAACGGCATCTATACTGTATAATTTGGAAGTATAGGTAAATGCTTTCGTCATAAGGTTTATCCAAATGTTGGAAATGGCATTTGTCAGAAATGACATTTTAAACGTCATTCATGATTCAAGTCAGTGATCTTCTGATAGGGACAAAAGCAATGCAAACTGAACTCTGAAACGTTTTGGATTTGCTGAATATATTACCATTGCACTTCACAGTGTTGACACACACACACATCATATTCAATATTTGGTCGAAATATTTGGCGAGTTTGTGTGAAACGCAGAATATTTTTTGTTTCACGATCAAGTTCATCGATGGATGCATATTTGGTAGTGGATTTGCGTCAGCAACGCCGTGGCGTCGTCACCATCAAATCAATCGCGATGTGTGTGAGCGTGTGTAACGTAATATTTACGGCGTGAATCGAACAAGTGAACAGACGAACAGTGGAAAAAAAAAACATTTCTTCGCATTGCGTTCGTGCGAGAGTGTGTTTTTGCTTGAATCGAAAGTGCGTCGACTTTGAATATTGGAAGTGAACTGCATCTAATTGAAACATATGCGATTTATTCGTCGAGTAATTATTCAAATTGTGGCCAATTGTATGCAAATCGATCGTACAGCAGCAGCCGAAAATGAGATTGTCGATTGCAATCATAATCATCATCAAATATTCATATATTCAAAACGTAAGTCGGAAGAGAATTTCGATTTGCATTTTAAAAGTCTTGCGAAAGAGGAAGAAATCGCGTAATCGACGCTGGTTTTATTTACTGAAATAAAAATGGCCAAACATCGAATCGTGGAGAACGCATTAGATTTAACGCCAATTCCACAGAAACACCAACGCTAATGTTTTCATTGCAAAATACAATATGGACAATTC